CCCCCCCCCCCCCCCCCCCGCCGCAGAGTGGAGAGAGTGGAAACAAAGGGATTTTAAGAGAATAAGCTGTTTGCCTAGCATGCCCACAGCTCCTAACCCCAGGCTGCGGTGTGATTGCATTGCTTTCGATGTGTACAAGACAGTAAGCAGGCACTGGAGCCTTCCAAAGTGTAGGGAAGCAGTTAGGAGGCAAACAAAAGCTGAAGATGTGAAACTGAGTAGTCTTGTGTCTTTCCAGCCAGAAAGCACAGTCATGGTCACGTGATGTCCGACTTGGTGATCGTTTTGCTTAGCGGCAGCCTTACCGGTCCCAATTAGGGCCGCTAAGTGAAAACTACCTGTACCTCTTATTTTCAGTTAGTTATCTCAAGAAGTCAGTGGAACTCTTGAGCCAATATCTAAAAGCTGTTTTAGGGTGGACCCTATGCTAAATGGAGAACCTCAAGTGGCCTCCATGAATAGAAGTGCTTTTGCCAGTTTGTTCCCAGCATATAAACTTATCTAATTGGTATGCACCTTGCCCCAAGCATTCATGAACCAGAGACACCCAGGCTGCAGTGTGCTGTGTTAGAGCTGTCTTTGGAAACACTCCAGAATCTTCAGCTCTACCACATTCAGTACCAACTCTACTGACTACTTCTAACCGCTATACTTACCCTTAAAGCCACAAGAAGCCAAATTACTTGCAGCAGCACCTTAATCATATTGGCTTAGTCACACCTTAAAATCAGGAATGGAAACCCAGTCTTTTTCTTCTTCCAGGCTAGTCAGAATTAGACAGAGAGCATTTCAGTAGAGACTTATCTTGAAGGAATGCTATATGTAAGTCCTCCTGACCTATCACTGCCAGGCCTATTTTTTAACCCAAGAATGAATCCAATATTAATTGAACTGAGATTTTAATATTTTATTTGTGCTTGGGGAAATTGGGGTTGAAAAGTTCTAGTGTGTTGATTTTAACAGTGGCTTTATTTTATATTTATAGTTTGTAAATATTTGATAATAGACATGCACATGCATGTATACATGCACACATACATAAACATGCATGTGACCTTCATGAGGAAGGATTTTGCCCAAAAATATAACCTAGAATTTTTTTCAGTAAAGTATTCTTAGATCAGCTTCCATGTCAGATTTGTTCATGGATCTGAATGTTAAAGAGGCTCCATTGCCATGTTCCTTCTGAGAAACCATCTGTGGTAAAGGAGAAGGGGAAACTAATGCTTGCTTGGAGGTACTTTCATTCTAGGGATTTGAATATAAGCATGTAAGTGTCTACCTATAATGCTTAAGTGAATAATGTTGTTCTAAAGCCTACAGAAAATTTGTCTTAAAACACAAAGAAGGCAGGAATCTCTAGGAACAGAAGGTTATATTAGTGATGAAGATGAAGATGTAGTCCAAAGACTGACCACGCTGCCCCAAGGTATCCGTATTAATATCTGCCTTATTTTGACCATTTGATGTCATTGAAAGATAAACTCTCTTCTGGAGTAGCCTCACTCATGTAGAAAGGATATTTTGGATTGTAACGAGTAAATAATGATAAAGCGTTCTTTAAATCAAACTTATTCCTGTGACTACGTGGTCACAGCCACGTTGTCTGTTTGGCAAGAATAAAGAAGTGATTTACCCAGCTTTACCATTGTCTCCTTCTGGAATTTAACAGTTTTGATTCATTTTTAACTTGGCAATTTGTCCTGTAGCCCTGGAATTTCTGTCAGTCTCCTGCTTGGTTTTCAGACATTAGCAAAGGTTAGTTAACTACGACCTTCTAGCTGGGATGTGCAGAGTAACTAAGAGTTAAGCATGAAAAGTTCCTTAAACAATTCTACATGGTGGTTCTTTTCCACCCTTCTTCCACACATGATCCCTCTGTGGCTATGTTCCTTAGTAGATAAGGGTCCCTACAAAGACATTCCAGGTTGTAATCTTGTAATTTTTTGTGGTGGCAGAGCATCCTAGGCAGGAGACTCCATGATTTCTTCAGCTGCTCTGAAGTAGAGGCATTCCTAGCACTCTTTCAAGACGAGGGCTTAAAGTTAGCATTGTCTCACCCATATAGTAAAATGGTATTCTACCCTTGTAATCTAATCGATGTAGATATCCATGAATGATTAAGGAATGAAATGTAATTCTTTGAAGATGTAATTACGCCTAGCTATTTCTCACTACATAAAGGATCCTCAGACATGGGTAACTGAAATATTTAGTTGTCTTTTATGTTCAGATTAATTGTTTTTTAAGGAGGGTGATATTATCATCGGGGCAACGGGTGGAATATTCTCTGTTCAGCTTTAGATAGCATTGTCCCATCCCGTGCTCCAAAACCAGGCAAAATTACATTTAGTTGTCTAATCAAATTTAATTTGTTAGTCATTTGGAGATTATTGTACTCTATGTTGTCATATGGAATCTAGGAAAAAGCAATTCCACCCCTCCTCCCTACTTTTCATTATTCTTTTTGTGGATAGAGACATAGAGATGTGTTTGGACCAATGAGGAAGATCTGAGGGATTGAAATTTGGCAGCACATATTGAAGCTTTTCCTGTTTTTGCCTGTCATTATTTTTCTAGAAGTAAAACTACACCTGTAAATTCCAGCCAACACCTATTCCCAACATTAGAACTGACAACACTTTAGAGAGAATTTTTGTACTGGTACCTTTGCTGAGATTCAAATAATAAATGTGGAGATATCTTCCCATTCTTGTTTTCAATCTTTTACTATATCAAGTAGAAAATTGTATATTCATTTGGTGAAAAAACATGGTAGAAATAAAGTTGGTCTGTTGTGGAAAACTACTGTAATTCAGCCAAAGGCCTTCACTTTCCAAAAAGAAGCAAAACACATAAAGAAGACAACTTTTTCCAATCCTAAGCAGAGTTTGGACAACATGTACCAATTTCTATGAAAGAGAGAGGGAGGGAAGCAGCCCTATGTTGCTTAACTACTAGTTTGTAATTGTGGCAGTTTCATATATTCAGAATCAACAGGGAGAATATCTAGAGTTTTTATATTGAAGAAAACAACATAATTGGTCATCCATATCTTTTAAAAAATAATTAGACTGAATTATCTTTCCTAAACATTTATATCATTGTAGGAGCTTTTAATGAGGGAAAGGGGTCTAAGGGTTTTCAGGTTTCAGTCACTCAGTGAGAACACATTCACTTACCCCTTGTTATCCCAACAGTCCTTGAAAACTTAATCCATTGGGTAATGCGTGAACTGAGAATGAAGTTCAGATGGTCTGGATAAAGCTCTAGAGATTGTCAAATCTCTCCAGCTGGAAATTGGTAATTGTTTTCTGATAATTTGAAGGACTAGCAGTTATCAATGAAGAGGAGTTGAGTCAACTGGCACTGATCAAGCCATCACAGTCAAAAGGTGGCCTACGACGTAATGCCTGTAACCTAATCCAGAAGATTCAAAGACAAATTGAAGAGCAAGAGATCCTGAAGGAGTTTTTGGTGAGTTCTCTCTAGTTTATATCCAAACTTTTGTTATTACAAGCAGAAACGGTTTCCAGGAAACATACAGGATGAGTATTTTTGGATTCCATTTGTATACAAATTCCTCCTCTCAATCCCATTGCTGTGGTTTCCTTCCCACCAGATTTTACAAAATGGAGATGTCCCTCTTTGTATGTTTAAGCCGATTTTGAACCTGGAAAGTCCACACACTTGAAAGCAAAGACTACTGAAAAAAAGAATCACAGTGTCTTTATCAGTTTCTAGTGGTCAATTCACACATCGCACAAAGAAAAAGCTATGTTTGTATTCAGAAAGGAGTATCAGCCAATCAAAGATTTCATATAGAGCTAAGCTATACTTTATTAACCACAATATATTAAATAAGCCACTGTCAACTGGCTTCATGCAGTATGCAATTCAAAATCCAAACAATCCTGATTATGTTTGGCATGATTTATAAATCCAGCCATATGGGCTAACATCATATTGTAGCAACATGCACTTTATAAGTATAATTAGATAGCAGTTTTTAAAAGTACTTTGTATTCCCCATAATAATTCTAAATTGAATTACAATATTCACTGCATTTTAACAGAGTTCATTATCATTTGCTGTAGCCACTCAATGGTTGTGCTTCTGCACAATAAATCAAGTTTTGGTGTATAGAACAAGCCAGAGGCAGTCTTGGATGTTCTAATTTTTGCTTTTGGGAATGTATTGTGTTCGTGGCATTTTGCCTATATACTTGTGGGAATTTGCCTATACTGTATGTTTGTGGGGAAAGATGTTTTTCGAGGTGGGGGGCAGGTTATATTTTGGTCTGTATATGTAAGGTTTCCTTGTAATTTTGTAAACTTTAGTTTTAGGAAGCTTATGGTCTTCACGTCCTAGACCTGAGGCTTGGAAATGAATTTAAAAATGAAATGTAAATGAAGACACTATGACCGAGGGATCACACTTTCCTGATAACTGGCTCCAGTCAAAAATGTAGTACAATAGTTGAATGTTTCATCAGTTAGAGTTTTTTCAAAGCCCTAACTTATTTTCAGAATGCAGTACAGGAATCCATTATGGATATAACTAAGTTATAAGTTACTATGGCCATAACAGTCTTCTCTGAAATGAATGCAGCTGGTTCACCACCTTCAGCTTGGCAAAAGCATTTCTTGCCACAGGCATTACCCAGGACACTTAGAACAAAAGTTACGTGCTTTTTTCCAAACTGAAAATCTGATTCTTCCAGGTGAATCCAACAAAATATACCAATCCAACACAGGTTGTATCCTTGTTACCAGATCACAAGTCTTAAAAGAGGACCCCTTTTCTCTTGCTTACATTTGTTTATTTCCATTAGTATGTGTATTGCAATAGAAAGAAGCAATACAATTCCACATGTTCAATCTGGTGAAATAGAATTACAACTTTCCAGTTGGTCTCCTTCAACATTTAGCTTAGGCATACTTGTATGAGAATATGCCCAAGCTAAAGACAACTTCTAAAAATCCTCATGCAGAAAAATATATAATAGCCTAGTATGAAAGTACAAAAAAACTTTAATTCAAAAGCTTACAGATAATGTGAAAACTGATGTTACATTTTGGAATATATGGATAGTGAGTAGGGATTTTTTAAAAAAATCCCACCAATGATTTTGCTTGAGATGAACTTGGGTAATTTATTGCAACAGTTCCATGGTGGGATGAAAAATAGACACAACTGTCAGCCCATTAGGTAAACCAGACCAGAAAATCAACTCCACAAGAAGACTCAAGCTATACTTTATTGAGATAGGCTATAGTATCAGAATCTTATATAGCAATAGAATCCTGCAAGCCTGCTTGTGCTTTACCTCCACTTCCTCTTAAACTCCGTGGCAGTGTTCCTCGACCTTGGCAACTTGAAGATGAGTGGACTTCAACTCCCAGAATTCCCTAGCCAGTGCTGGCTGGGGAATTCTGGGAGTTGAAGTCCACACGTCTTAAAGTTGCCAAGGTCAAAGAACACTGCCCCAGGGAATCAGGGAGGAGCCTGCCTTAGTTGCTCCCGAATACTGTCTTGCTTCCCAGGACTTAACGGATGTTTCAGCCCTCTTTGCTTATTTAACAGTTCTTTCCCATTTCCCTCAAGGTCATCTCCCTTATTCTCTACAACAATAAACTCTTCCCTGGAAACAATGGATAGACAGAAGTTACAGTTATTTTATAAACTTAATAAGGTGACTAAGAGTTCTGGTGGGTTTTTTTTTAATTATTTTTAAAAAGCCTGGTATTCTTCAACAGCTGTGGGCTTTTTGAAAACTTTGAAGGTTTCTTTCCTAGTGCCCAGAAAGCAAGATCACCACTTGGCCGCCCAACACAAGGCCAGGCAACACATTGCAATGGTTCAAGGAGTCCAGTGTTGGCGGGAGTGTGCTGGGCTTTATTTGATAAGCAATCCCAATTCAGGAAGATCTCTCGGCCACCTTGCAAAGTTTTTAAGGTAAATACAACCATTGCCCGCCTCTGGGTCTGGTCTGATGCTACATTAAATTCAGAATGAAAATTTGTCAGCTTGGAAATCTGTCCTCCAAAGCAGCCATGGAGAAGACCCCCTTCTACCACTCCTTTAACTAAAGTAAGCAAATGCTTCTTTAAACAAAACATGATTTTATCTTTGTTTTAGAGTTTAGAACATCTGAAGCCACTGGATGACTGCCAGGTTGCCAAAGCACCAGAAAACCGGGAAAAGAACAGATACCGAGATATTCTCCCATGTAAGAAATACCTTGTTTGTTTCTCTATACTATTTTTATCGCACTGAAATCTCATGACTCTCGAAGATTACAATATCATAGTAAAAACAACAGAACGAAAACAATATACCATCCAAATCTCAAAACAAAAAACCAAGCTAGGAGAGAAAAATAGTAAGATCAGCAAGACGTGCAGGTGGTGGTGTTCATGAAAGGCTGTTTGGAAAACAGCCTAATGGCTTCATAAAAGGGTCCAGTCTAATCTCAGTGGGCAGCCCATAGCATGGTGTTGACACCGCTGTGGAGAAGCAGCACATTCTGGCTTCGGCTTCCCTGACCCCTCAGAAATACAATATTGCAGCAACTCAGCGATAGGGTGGGCAACTTCAACCTGAGGCCAAGTTAAATGAGACACCTGGCCCATATTTAACATTTTTACTGCATGATGGTAGTTCTGTTCTAACGTTGGAAATCACCTCTGTGGCTGTCTCCCAATTTACAGTCATATGTTCAGTCTACATCAGTGTTTCCCAACCTTGACAACTTTTAAGATGTCTGGACTTCAACTCCCAGAATTCCCCAGCCAGCATCTTAAAGATGTGAAGGTTGAGAAAAACTGGTCTACATTGATATGACAACAGAATGGTAGCCACCACATACAACAGGAGACCCTAAATCAGGAGGAGCTGCCCAAAATTCCTGCCTTTCTTAATTAAGGGATTTAAGACCCGTCTGAAATTAAGTCTTTTAACTAGCTAGACTAAGTAATGTTTTCTCCTAGCTCCAGCACTGTCAAAAGAATGCACTGGCTCTTCTTCTATGCTATCCTACCAAATTAGCCTTTATATCCAGAAGATGCTGGTTCTGTTTGTGAAAGGGAGAGTTGAAGTAAATTATAACTGATTTGGGGACAGAGAAGAATTTTGTCCAAAATTCTCAATTTACTTGCCTTTGTTTGCAAGTAAAGGGGAGGGGGGGATTTTTCATCTGTTTCTTCTTTTAAAAAAAAAACTCCACGTACAAACAGACTTTGACAAGGACTGGCCTTTGCACAGCTTATGGCATAAAATAAGAAACTCCAAGGGAAGAATCAGGATTTCTGGGACTATGCATAAGGGACTTTTTTGGGTGGACCCAATGAATCTGCAGGGCTTTAGCCTTCATTATCTTCCTTATGATAAAAAATAAAAACTTGTTAATAGGGCATGTGGTATTATTACCTCTCATCATTTGGAAATTAATATTTCTGTTGACGTAGCTTAAAAGTGCAGTTGCCCTACTTGTAGCTGCAAGAAAGCTTGAAGATCCTGTTCCGGTTTTGGAGTAAGTGCATTATGGATTGCCCGTACTGGGTCTTGGGTTGGGTAAATACCCAAGATACTGAAAGAAAGAAAGTTGTGATTTCACACTTTTTTTTGTAAATGGATACCAGATTTGTCAAAACAGTGCAGTACTTCCTGAAGACTAATCCCATAATCCAGACATTATCAAAATAAGGCACAATACATAAGAATCCAGAAAGTAGAACCTCCATGAACTGGAGGGGAATATTCCAAGGAAGGAGCTCAGCTTTGATCTGTGACTGTGGCTGGCATTTTGGACCCCTTGCCCACACCCCTACATATCTACATATATGTAGCTTTGGATCATTTTCCTCAAAAAATAAATGAATAAGTATAACATTTTTTATTCATTTGTTTAATTGGGTTGTCTAGTTTTAGGATAACATTTTAGGTCATATTTATGCAGAAATATTGCAAATTCAGAAGGGTTCGCAAACATTTAAGCACCACTGAATGTCAGTAGCCAGAAGGTTTAGAATTAAATTTGTTGCTGAATTGTAGTATATTTTATAACATCTCATTTTGGTTCCTGTTATGGTATTTTGCTAATCAATATTGAATGAATAAATGGAAGATGTCTTAGATATTCTATGGAAGGATGAGATAGAATCCTCTATACGTATACATGTGAATATGGCCGTATATATGTACTGTATATGTGTGAAGATATTTATGATGCAGTATTTTATTTGTTTAGAATTTTTAGAAGCTGCCTCATTTCAAGTATTCTTTCCAGGACAACTAGCAAAATAGGAAAAGCAGAAAAAAATAGTGCTATATATAAACATCTAAACAGTCATACTGTATTTCTCTGTCAATCCTTTTCGATACCTTGCAGATTGAATAGTCAATTAAAAGCCACTGGGGTCTCTGTCTGTCTGTCTGTCTGTCTTTCTTTCTTTCTTTCTTTCTTTCTTTCTTTCTTTCTTTCTTTCTTTCTTTCCCTTTCTAGATGATGCCACCCGTGTCCCCATCGGAGAGATGAAGGACTATATCAATGCCAGTTACATTCATATGCCAGTGGGCACAGAAGAGCTCTTTTACATCTCCACCCAGGGTCCTCTGCTTTCTACCACAAATGACTTCTGGCAAATGGTCTGGGAAAATCACTCCAATGTCATTGCTATGATTACAAGAGAAAAAGAACGTGGCGTATCCAAATGCCATCAATACTGGCCTGACCCTCCTCACAATTCTTTGGATTTACTTCGCTTTCGGCTGCGACTACTCAACTACCAATTCCTGGATTATTTTGTCATTAGAATAATAGAAGTGGTGAACAAACGGGTAAGGCATCCCTTACACAAGAAAAGCAATGATTGGCAATGCAACGTTTGATTTTTCAATTAATAATCCACGTTAGATTTGTTTATGTTGTGCCAGTCAGTAATAAGAAATATTTTAGGCATGAATCTTCCATTAGAAACGCATCTAATCTAACATTTTGCAAGATGTGTGCAAAGTCATTTTCTGCTTGTCAGTGTGTATAGTCTTTGCTCAATCAGGCATTGCTAATTTCCTCAGCTGCTTAAATTATACTAGCAAAAGTGCTTCCTCCTCCCCTCCCTCCCTAAATCAGTTTATTGGAATGTGCTATGATGGTGCTGTTGTAATATTCAAGATATGGGAGAGAAAGGAATAGCTTCAGAGAGACCTTTCACTGCTATCTGGTCGGTAAAAAAGAGGCAAGACATGGATGGAGAAATGAAGAAGAGGAAAAGGATAATAGAGGTGCCACCAAATTCAGATTTTGAATAAGACTTGGAATCAGAGGAGCCATTTTCCATTTTAGCAATTAGCCTAGCTGTTTGAACTTGATTCTGTCTTGAATGGGTCAGAGAGAGGAGAAGGGCTGTAGTATACCTGGACCTCAGCAAAGCTTTTGACTGTCTCATGATACTTTCATAAAATGATAAAATATGGGTGAGAGGATACCACTGTTAAATAGACTCACTCCTTAATGGCTGTACTTCAGCTTTGAGGGAAGTAATGAGTGGAGTGCCAGAGGATTCCATCCTGGGCCCTGACTGTCCAACATTTATATTAGTGACATGGGTGAGGGTGTTGAGGGGAATGTATAAAGTTGATAGATGATACAAAGCTGGGAGGGGTGGCTAATCCTCTAATCAGTAATTTAGTACTCTAATTTAATAATTTAAATCATTTTATAATTTATATTTTTTAAATTTATATTTATACAATTTATATATTTTATCAATTTAAGTTAAATCTAATTTAGTAATCTAATCAGTAATTAGAAACTCTAATCAATGTTTCTGAACCTTGGCAACTTTAAGATATGTGGACTTCAACTCCCAGAATTCCCCAGCCAGCTTTCTGGTAATTGAAGTCCATATCTCAAACTTGTGAAGGTTGAGACACAGCTCTAGAGGAAAAAGAAGATTCAAAAAGTTGTAGACATGACTGAACAATGAGCTGAAATGGGTAGGTTGGAACTGAATAGGAGAAATATAAAGTTGTGCATCTGAGTAGGAAAAATGAAAAGCACAGTTGTAGGATGGGTAAAACCTGGCTTGGCTGAGTATGTGTGAAAAAAAATCTGGATATCCTTGTTGACCGTAAATTAAAGCTGAGCTAGCTATGTTATGAAATTGGTAAAAAGGCAAATGCTGTCTTGGGGTGCATTAACCACAAAGTAGAAGGCAGATCACAGGAAGTCAACAGTCCACTTTACTCTAACCTGGTCAGATTCCTTTTGGAGTGTTATGACCACTTCTGGGCACCACAGTTCAAAAAGGAGTATTCAGAAGTGTTCTACTCTGATGAAGAGCCTGGAAACCAGACTTTGTGAGGAACAGCTAAAATATTTGGATATGTTTAGCCTATGAAAAAAGTGACTGATAGCAGTCATCAGATGGCTGAAGGGTTGTCATGCAGGAGGAAGGGTGGACTTATTCTCTGCTGTCTCAGAGGGTGAGACCAGAACAAGTGTGTTAAAATGACAAGGAAGGAGATTCAGGCTAGATAGCAAGAGGACCTTTCTGACTGTGCCAGCTCTTAAAGCAGTGGAACAGGCCGCTATGCAACCTGGTGACTTCTCCTCTGCTAGAGGTCTTCACCCAGAGGTTGAATTGTCATCTGTCAGAGGTACTGTAACGAATCCTGCACTGAGCAAGGGTTTCCTCACATGATCTGTAAGTCCCTTCCAACCCTCTGATTCTATGAATTATATTAAGAGTGCTTTATATGTCCATGTATCTTTCTGTTGCAGACAGAGGAAAGACGCATTGTGCAGCACCTCCAATTTACAAACTGGCCAGACCACAGTACTCCCAAATCATTATACCATCTAGTCAAATTTGTTCGCTACATGAGAAAAATCCACCAGTCAGGGCCAGTCATTGCACACTGCAGTGCTGGGATTGGAAGAAGTGGAGTACTCCTTTGTGTGGATATCGTGTTGACTTACATAGAAAAGGATTTGTGTGTAAGTCCCAAAGCAAACTTGTTTGTAGTTATCCTGTTGCAAAGAGTAAGCATCAATCAAAGGTTGTACAGATCAGTAGAAATCCCATCTACCAGAATAATATCCTGAACTGTTGGATGACTGGTTGCACTGGGGAAATTTGCATAACAAAAGCAATTTTGCTTTTAATTTGCATAATACATGGCTACTTCAGGACATGGGCATCTACAAGGGGGTTAGGGGCCAGTAACTTCACTCATGTCATATTATTACACAAGTGACACAAATTATGTTTTGTAAGTCATTTACATCATGATGTCATGACAGGACTAGTGCAAACTACATAATTTGCACTATGCATTTAGTAGAAATTGCCTACAAATCATAAGAAATCAACTAAAACCCTGCATATAAAACACAGAATGGATCTAGAAAGGGAATGGGCTGAGGAAATAGAGATGAAATTAGATTGTTCTGCCATATACTAAATGTTATCCTTATGTTTCTTTCATATGACTTCAAAAAAATGTGTCAGCATTTGATGAATTGAGCTGTAGCTCACAAAAGGGTATGCCTTTAAATAAAATTTGTTTGTCTGAAAAGGGGCTACCAGATTCCTCCTGACTTTTTGGCTGCTATAGACCAGTGTTTTTCAACCTTGGCAACTTTAAGATGCTGGCTGGGGAATTCTGGGAGTTGAAGTTCACACATCTTAAAGTTGCCAAGATTGAAAGACAAACCGTGACCGTAGATTAACACAGTTCTCAGAGACTCAGAACCGTGCAGGCTGTCTCTGCATGAATGTCTCTGTTAAGTAAGTTAGCAGCAGGGCAAAAAGCAATGGCACTTTTATTGTTAAAGTCCAGAATTGGGGGGACCCCTTCATGGATCACTGCCTTGTCGTGGCGAAGGGGCTTGCGTAACTCAGTGAAGC